TTATATTTAAACCAGCATAATTGTGACAATTTTATATTTATTTTTATAATTTTTGTGCTAGTGTTGCTGATCAGAGTTTCAATGATATCATGCAATATCCTGTGTTTTCATGGATACTAGCTGACTACACTAGTACTACCCTAGGTAAGTTTAATTACTCATTTAATATTAGTATTATTAATTATTAAATATTATTAGATTTAACAAAGTCAGATACATTCAGAGATTTATCTAAACCAATAGGAGCACTGAATGAAGAGAGACTAGCATTCTTTAAAGTACATGAGTATAGATCAAAATTTAGTATTAATTAATTAATTAATTAATTAATATTTTAATCGAAAGGATCGTTATGCTGAGATGTCTGGAAGGAAGTTTCTTTATGGTACTCACTACTCAGCACCTGGTTATGTACTGTACTATCTAGTCAGAACTGGTGAGGAAAACCTGTTTATCTTGTACCTACACCTTCTTTCCCTCCCTCCCTCTCTCCCCTCCCTCTCTCCCTCCTTTCCCCTCACTAGTCCAGCAGTGTGTTCCAGTGTATCCAGTATCACAGGTATAGTTACCAGGTCAATTGTCATAGCAACGCTCATTAGGTTTCCATGGTATTTAATTGAATATTTTTATTAATTTTTATCACTGCGAATATAACCCGACCTACAGTAATAATACATGTATGATATGGGTATTATACATTATACATGTACATGTACATGTAAATCTTACAATTTGAATTTTTAATTTGATATTTTTGTACTAATACCTACCCTTGCTAATATTAAATTTTAATGCTATACAGTACTGAAGTATTTTTAAATACAAACCTGTTTATATAACTGGTTTTATTCCCCTTACAGTGATCATGAATCCCAGTACAGGTGTACCAGGAAGGTATCAACAGTGATATGTGTCCATGATGTACAGTGTCTTGAACCTGATTGTAATAATCACGGGTCATGTGACATGGGGGTGTGTTCATGTGAGTCTCCATGGACCGGAGATACTTGTGGATCTGTTAACTGTTCACTGACTGATTGTAATGGACACGGAATATGTATGGAAGGTAAGAGGAAATACATGTACTGTCCTTGATACATTTTCTGATACATATTGATGTACTTATGCTGTGTAGAAAGTTTGAGCTAATTCAGACTTCAATTTTTCAAGTTATGGCTGGCTGATTTTTGAAAAATATACATTTTGTGATACATATTAATGTCCTTATGCTGTTTACATTACTTGTAATATTTATTATCATCATCCTTAGGTTTATGTACATGTGATCCTGGATGG